GTGTGAAAAGTGTGTTTGATTGCATGCATCTTGTGTTTGATTTTTTTTGGGTTATTTACTTGTTGGTTTTATCTTGCCATACATCCTATTTACTAGCATTTGTATAAAGCAATAAAAAATGCAGAAAACAAATCCTACACTATTACAACCATATTGAAGTGCATAAAAATATAAAGGCAAAAATAAAATAAAAGAAAGAAAAATGAGCTCTTTCGATTGGGGCTGGAGAACCCTTCAATTTTATATTTCTTGGCCTCATTCGATTGGGGGTTGGCACCAGTGAGGTCATGGCCTTCGATTGGGCTTGGCCTGGGGCGTGAGAGGTGGCCTTCGATCTGCCTTCTCTGCCTCCTTCGACTGGGGCCTGGAATCAACAGGGTGCGCCTTTCAATTCTTCCTGGAAATCAGTGTGGTGCAGCCTGTCCTTTTGTCTTCTTCGACTGGGGGTTGAAAGCAGTGAGGGAATGCCTTTCGACTGGGCCTAGAATCAGTGAAGACATGCTTTTTGTCTGGGCCTGGAAGTCAACATGGTTTGCCTCCTGATTGCTTCTTTCGTTTGACCTGGAGAAAGAGGGTAGAAGCCAGAAGCCTCGTTTCCTATTTCCTATTTCCTGTTTCTTTCGTTTGAGATGTTAAATAACAACATGGCCTAAAGCCATGCTAGCACTGCCTTAGGGCCAAGTTATTTGTAATAAACCAAAATCAAGAACCAAAAGGAAAGGCAATAAAACAAAACTACAAGGGTGTAAACGAAAAAGGAAAAACAACAATATGTACATGCTTGAAACGTAACAAAGTTGTATTTACATGTGCTGGAAACGAAAGATGCAAGGGTAAGAGTAACTTACCTTGATGCAACCTTGAAGGTGACCTGAACCTTGAGTGATGGCCCTGGGGGTTCTCCTAGATTCGAAGGGAGGGGCCAGAAGCAGGGCCTTGGATGCTAGATTCGAAGGAGGAAAGAAACAAATGTTATATTTATTTCTACTGGATTCGAAGGAAGCTGAAGTGTGGGGATTCATCAGAATCGAAAGAGGTAGGTGTTTGGGATTCTGGGTTTGCTTTCACAAGTGTTTAAGAACTTGAGAGTTTTGTTGTGTTTGAGAAAATTTGGGAGATCCGTTCCTCTGGTCCAAAGATCCTCTCTTTCCTTGTTTATGGTTCCTTTATTTATAGAGGAAATGCTTGGGAGTCGTTGAAGTAGCCAGCCTTGCAAAAACAATAAAATATGAAAACGAAAAAGGTACAAGTGGGGGGCCTTTTGGCAGTTGAGGTGCATAAGATGTGACTTGTTCCTTTTGATGTTGCTTGTGCTCAGGCAAAAATTAGGTTGAGATATGATTTTGTGTTTAAAGCAATCTTTATGAAGAAAGGGTACATAACTTGTTGTCATTTCGTCCCAAAATGGTATTATCCAGTGGATAAACCTTCGAACCCTCATGTAATGTATCACAAACTTGTGTAAACCTCTGATTATGTGAAGATTTAGAAGTAAAGTAGCCTGACAAGTAGGGTAAGGCTATGAGATTTGCTCAGACTTGCTTCAAATAAGCTTGCTTCGAATGGTTCAGATTGGATTCGAAGGAAGCTGATTCAAAGGGAATCAAAGCTCTAATCGAAGCTTTGTATGTAGGTTGCTTCTGACCAATCGAAGGTTTATTTTCCAGAGGTCACATGTGGCCAAACGAAAGGTGCATGCAAGAGGCCAAAATGTCCAAACAAAAGATTTGACCAAAACCTTGTGCTGAAGGGTTCATGTGTCCAAACGAAAGGTACATGCTGGAGGCCAAAATGCCCAGATTCAAAAGAGGCACATAGGAGGCAAAAAGTGCAAATTGAAGGATGCATAGAGATGGTTACTTTGTCCCATCGAAACTTGTCCAAACGAAGCAAGCATGCAGGCAGTAAACTTGTCCAATCGAAGCAGACTTATAGGCAGTAAACTTGTCCAAATCGAAGCAGGCTTGCAGGCAGCACGCTTGGTGAAACGAAAGGTTTGCCTTGCAGGGGCATGTGTGGCCAGCATGTCATGGCCTTCGATTGCAAGCATGCCGACAACACACTTGTCCAATCGAAAGGCTGAATCGAAGGAGGCCTATTTTCTCCGAATTTGTCAAAATGTTATTTTTATCTATTTTCTCCTTTTTTGACAGTTTCCTTTTAATTTTGGTACTGGAAAATCCCAATACACTTGTGCAAGCTTGAATCCTGAGAGTCCTTGTGAGAAAACCCTTGAGAAATGAGAGGGCAAATTTTGGGGTACAACAATAAGGATACACCACTTCCCTCGTTTTTATAAATAGACAGATAATCCCCGTAACACGCAATGTACCTGAGAAATGGACGCACGTTGTGATAAACAAGCGCTCATAACAACAGGTGAACGACTAACAACCCTACTTTAAGTGATGGATATTATTCGCCTACCTCTGATGAATTTCGTATCGCCTCTTATATATATTCTTTTCAAATCTACTTGTGCACTAGTATAAATATCACTTCAAACTCCTTGATAATTTTTGATTCCATCTCTCTTAAAGATAAAAAATAATTTTTTAGATTTATTACTTTTTGATTGGGTTGGATTAATTCCCTAGCTTTTGTAATCTTTTTTCATCAATATATTGGATCTTTATTTAAAAAAATTAGTATAAAATAACTTATATGGAAATAAATTGAACTTTTATGCTATAAGTAACCGTTGAATAAATATATGACAAAGTTTGAATTTAATTCTTGTAACAAAGGATATAGATCTAGTATTTAATGTTAGAAAATGTATTGATACTAAAAACATATACGCGCATATCACACGGCATGGTTTATTGATTATTTCTAGAAAAGAGAAAAGAATGGAGTACATGCGTGTACCGCACACGATGGCATGAGAAGTTCATATAACCTTTTTTAGTTATATATAATTAAAATAGAAATAAAAATATATATTTTAATCTCTAAATACATAATGTTGTCATTATAATACATTATTTTATTTTAAAAATTGCGAAAAATAAAATATAAATATTTGTTTGAATTTAATGTCAATTATTTTAATTTAAAAAGTAAAAAATTTTAAAAGAGAAAAATTAAATTACCATATAAATTATTCTAAATATAAAGAATAAAAACAAATAAAACTTAATATGTTTTCATTTGAAGTATTAATTTTTATTTTCTAAAAAAAAAAATTATTATTTAAAAGAAAAGTAAATAAAAAAGGTAGTTGCTTGGTTACAACCTTTGAGACGAAGTTAACCCCATAAAACGCCTAAATAGCCGTCAATAAATAACTAGATACCAGTGTATATAAAATATCTTGATCTATATTTTCTCGAAAAAACAAATCGCTTCTACAAGAAGAACCCTCTTCTCTTCTTTTCTTTTCCGCCACCCAAATGAGTTACTACAACCAACAACAACCGCCCGTCGGCGTTCCTCCACCGCAAGGTCCGTCTCAATTTCACTCACCGTTACTGCTTTTGTGCTTTCGTTTAATTTTGTGATTTGATTTTTATGAAATTAGGTTATCCACCGCAAGAGTCTTACGGAAAAGGCGCTTACCCTCAAGAGGCGTATCCACCGCAAGGCTACCCTCCTCAACAGGGCTATCCACCGCCAGGCTATCCACCGCAAGGCTATCCACCGCAGTATGCTCCTCAGTACGCTCAGCCTCCGCCTCAACAACAGCAAAATTCATCCGGAGCTGGTTGCTTGGAAGGCTGGTAAATCATCTCTCGATCTTGATCTCTTTATGTGTAAAATTGAATCGATCAAATCAAATTTGTTCTTGTCGTTGCTCCGATCAACGCTCAATTGATCACTGGATCGTGGTTGTTGCCGGTGGTGCGTCACCGTTTGATTTTTTTATATTTTTTTATATTTTTATGTTTCTGTGGGCCATACCATATACCGGATATTCCAATGTAACTTTGTTGAGCTATTATTGTCATTTCCAAAATTAATCACTTAAATTAACTAAATTCAAGATTAAAAACAATGGTTAAGCAGAATTGGAAGTGATTATTTTTAATTTCAACTTATAATATAAGTCAAGTGGTGGGTGATGCCTTTCCCTGATAGTGATTTATTTGACGTGTGGGTTTTGCCATCTTGAAGTGTGGGTCTCCTTTCAAATAATATACAATTCTGGTACTATTTTGACAACTAAGATGAAGATGTGGACAAGTTTTCTATAAAAAAAGTTTTTTTTTAATTTTAAATTCCTTTTCTTAGGAGTTTGCAATATATAGTATTTTTCTTTATAGACAAGACAATTAGTACTATATTCTTTGCTCTATATGCCTCAAATGTAACAATTCTTGGCTCTCACACTTTCTTTCTTTTGAGATATGCATCCACCTATGTAAATGTTATACAAATGCACACGAACGATGTTACTACTTTCTTCTTTTTTTTTTTGGTAAATAAGGTTATAAGTTTCTGGCTTTCTGATTTGTTTGTATAATTTGTGAACGTTGCAGCCTGGCTGCTCTCTGCTGCTGCTGTCTCTTGGATGCATGCTTTTGAGGGGAGATGTTACTTTGCACAGATTGGGTTGATTATAAATGTATTTTGACTTTGAGCACATGATGATTATTGTTCTTTTAGTTTCTTATACTTTTCCCTGTTAATTGTTTGTGTTTATGGATATGAAGTTATGAACTACTGCTTCTAAATATCGTACTGCCTCATTAAAGGATTTGTCTGTTTTTATTTTCCCCGTGCTTCGCTCGATGCCTTTATAGAAAATTTCATTTCTTGCTAGCATTTGTATTTTGATGAATTTGTCTAAGGTTCTAGTGCATGAATGTGTTAACCATCACTACAAGAGGAGGCCTCTTCTAATTTTAATAAAAATGCTTTCATGAATACATAGCAAATTTCACCTTATAGTACTTGTCTCACCAACACATTTGTTTTAACTTCCACAAGACTAGTAACATTTAAGTGAAATTGTAGCCACCCATTTTCCAAAACTATCAACACTCTTTTTACATATATTAAGCAGAAACTTCAGTAGTCTCAAGCTGACTGTAGTTCCCTTTCTCTTTGAAAAGTTGAATGTGATGATGTTTGCAGTAGAGCTTTGTGTCATGTGTAACGAAATTTGATGAGCTTATAGTACAACCTCCATAGGTACATCTGAAGCAGGCCTTGTGATAGGGAGTCCCGTTAACCGTAACCTTTGATAAATTGCAACATATTAAGCATTAGTAATTAGAACTAGAAAGTGTAAAACATTATAACTAACTCAAAATTTCTATTATTTATACCTTCTCAGTGGCATACACTGTCTTTTTGCAACACATGCATATATCTTTTGTCCCCCCAAACGCTTTTGCCACTGTTTTGGCATTCTGTCATTAAAAATAACCTGTCAAACTGTCACTAAAATATACACTTACTATGAAATGTGGCAAGAGAAGCTATAGAAATATTACCTCATTCTCAATTTTTTCTGGTTTCTGGATTTTGGGGTCTCCTGTTCACGTATGAGAATGAGAGGAAGCAAAAGAATGTTAGCCAACTCTAAAATTTTCGGACAACACAATTTATGTTTCTGGTTTACGATTTTACCTTCGAAGCTTTTGTGCAGGCTTCCAGTTCTCTTGTAGAGTTGATCATAGTGTGGTCTGCAATAGAGCACCCCATCGATAGAACAGTAGTTACTTAGCTGCAATTGCAAACAGAGTTAGGATCATTTGGTGAGTTTCATCATTGAATGGTTTCATATTATGTTTTACCTTGAGGGTATTCTGGCAATGGTGGCATCGAAAGCAGGCCTTGTGATATATACGACCATCTGCGGTTAGCTTCTCAACAAGATAAACCGTTTTTTTCGCATGCCCTGCACTTCTGTATGGATCCTCCTAAACTGGCCATGGCTTTCTACACAGCGAGAGATATTCGATGACCGAACTCTGGCTGGATGAGCGAGACCAATAGAGATAGAGAGGGAACAAAGTTCAATCTTCCGCAAAGATTTCCTCTGCCAAAGTTTGCCCTCTTCTCTCTATTCTCTCTATTCTTCTCCCTCGTATTAAACAATGAGAAAAAGAGTAAACGAGAGAAAATAAATCAGAGGACATGAAAAAACTGAATGTGGACAGCAGTAAATTTCGGACAATAACAAGAAATGTATTTTTATAGATGACACGTTGTTGACTTGTGAGTGAATTATGGATTAAGAGGGAAACAAAACAAGGTTAAATAAAATATAGATAGATTCTTGTTATGATGACTGGTGAGTTGGCTTTCCAGCAGTTATTTTGTCTAAATTTAACGAATCTCGTACATTATTTATCATGCCTTAACTTTAGTACCTCAACATTAAAGAATAATGATGGTGTTCTTTACAGGTGCCTTGCCATAATTTTAGAAGCCCTCATTTAGTAGAATATGGTCATCATCATTGATACCAAATAAATAAGTAAAAAAGAAGACTAGCAATATTAAGCGAATTGATAATACCAACAAAAAAAATAAAAATTAAACGAATTGATATTCGACCTATCAAATAAATTAATTTTGGCAAAGGCATGGTTAGAAAGAAAGTTGAGTTACAATTAATTTAAATTGTTTTCTCTAAGTAATGTAATATCTTTCTTCCTTTTTATAGAAGATAATTTATTTTTTAGATTTATTAAATAACTAATATATTTGATCTTTAAATATATCTTTCTTCCTCTTTAAATATAAAACGTGAATTGTCTCTTATAAAAAAAATATAGAGATAATTCTAATTTAAGATTTTTGATTAGTACAAAATTATTTATTTTAAATATTTTTATAAAAGTATATGAATAAAGTGAGACAATAATCATATTATTATCGGTTATATGTAAGGTTTAATTCAATTGGCAAATATTATTATTGTTAGATTTGACATCTTATATGAGTTTAAATTCGAGAATTTTCATTTGTATGCATGAATTTCTGATGATTATTTCATAGTTTTAAAACTTCGGACTGGTTAGACCGTGAATCAGAAGGTAGAGCGGTATGGTAAGGTTATTAGACTATATTTGCAATTGACTCGGTAAAAGTCAGTGTGAATCGACCGATTTAATGGTCAAACCAGTGAACCAATGAGTTTCTTGATCCGGCGGATTGATTTTTTTATGTTTATGTTTTAGCTTAGTTATAATTTTGATCCTCCTATTTTAATTTTTCTTAAGTTTTTGTGTCCATGTTTTAAATCCAATTTTATTATTTATAATTATATTAAATATTTTCTTTTTTTCTCTCTGTATAGTCGGGTGTAAGATTCTTTATGGTCCCTCAACTCTTGGATAAATTGATGGCAGGTAAGTGTGTGATCCTCTTCTCTTTTACCGTACAAAGCAGAAACAACTCAAAAATCACAATTATCATCACCCTTAACATTTACGATACATTCAATGTATTTGAGCATAAAAATCGTCATCTCTTCGATTAATGAAATTTTCAGTGGAGGCAGTGAAGGAGGTGGTTTGCTAATGCGAGCTCCTTTTAAAAAACTTTTTGAGATTTTGGAGTCCGAGAATCGAGAAATGTTTCTGAACAACTGATAATAAAGATTGATGTCTTTGAATATGTGTTTCAACACAGTCATGCTGCGATCAAATGATATACATATCTCATTATGGTAATTTGGATGATTTGGCCCACATAGTTTCAATCTCTACACAAATCACCTTTATTATTTCCCAACCAATTCTTCAGTGTAGCACGGGCAGATTCAATACGGTTAGTTGTTGTATTTTCAAAGAGTCTAACCTGACTGGTTCAAGCAAAAACAGATTTATCCTTCACTTGGTCCAAAATTGTACTTTCAACATATTACAATAAATCTTAATATTTCTCACAAATCTTCCTAAAAGATTGAAAAACATCGGCATATAGATCTTTTGTAGAAGAATTTATCATAATATTTCAAGTATCCAAATGAACCAAGGCTAAAATTCTCGAAGAATGAGGATGAGCAAGATGTTAATCCAACTCAGTATATGAGGTTGGTTGGATCCTTGCGTTACTTGTGCAATACGCAATCATATTTGGCGTTTACTATTGGTATTGTGAGTAGATTCATAGAGAGACAGAAGGTGTTCCACTTGAAACCAGTCAAGAAGATCCTAAGATACGTCAAAGGATCAATTGGTTGTAGAATTCTCTTTCCCGCAATGGACACAGGCTGAAAAATGCAATTTGCTTAGTTTTACCAATTCCAATTGGTATGATTGAAAGTCTACAACTTTATACATCTCATGGTGTTCGAAGAAGGAACTGGTGGTAGCACTCTCGTCTTGTGAGACCGAATACACTGTCACTTTGTTGTGTGCGTGATAAGCTGTGTGTTTAATGAATCTATTGAAGCAGTTGTTGCAGCGGTATAGCGGCTAGTAAAAATTAAAGTATTATTTTACCGGGTAATATTTAGTTATATCGTATCGTGTCCACAGAGATTGGTTATCGAGTCGCTGTTCGACAAATCATTCGTTAATGAGTTTGGGGGTTGAATGGAAAGGGAAAAAGTTATCAACAGAAAATAAATGTAAACAAAAATAAAATAAAAAGGAATAACTTATCAAGAGTGAACAATACTACTTCTCATAGATTTAAACTTATCAATCAGTTGTACTCAACCTACAATACTCGTCAATGTCACCACGTATCACTCACAACCTAAGTCATTTCTAACCAAAATTGAGAGGTCTATTGTATCATCTCGGTAGCGACCTCTCAACCACCTCAACAATACATAATTCAACTGTGTTAATCGCGTCGATGATCTCTCAGAGCGACACAATTAATACAGAGGCATTAATCACAAACATCCAAGTGAATGTCAGCTCTAAATCTATCTCTAGAATCCAGAAACTAACAGACTATCACCCTAGATAAGAATTCGAGCAGTATATGTCTATAACAACCTAAATTCTGAGCACGGAGCAAAAATCCATAACAACAATCAACAAATATTTGTAAAGCAAATTAAATATAACTCTATGAGCGACAAATATACATAAGATCAAAGTAATTACATATACAAACCCAACTAAAAGAGAATACAAAAAGAAGAAGAAAAATGAACCACAAATCTTTCGGTTTGTTAGTGTCGATCGAAGAGCAATCCACCCCAAATCATCCGTATGCAAGCTCCATAGTTGTTTTCTAAGCTAATCCACTACAAAAATGAGGTTGATGGAGTTTGGAGATCAAAAACCACACCCAAAACCATAAAATTTACAAAATAAATGAAATAGAAATATATATATATATATATATATATATATATATATATATATATATATATATATATATATATATATATATATATATATATATATATATATATATATGGTCCGCGCGCGTTGCCCGATGATATAAAAGCTTCGCCCGTCGACGACCCTTAAATACAAGGCCCAAGTTGTATCACTCGCCCGGAGAAGGGAGGCTTCGCCTGGAGACTCAACCAAAACTCGCTCATCGACCACGACGCGAGGAAAAGACAGAAGCTATTGGAATTTGATCAAAACCTCTTGACAGACAACACTTCTTTATTTCTTTTTCTGACTTTCTTTCTGTCTTATTTAATCAATTTTGCATCTTTGGAGTTTCCCTTTGGACTTTTATTCCTCAGTGCTCCAAACATACATGAATACCTACAAAAAGAATGAAAAACATCAAATGGTACACTATATACACAAAACACAAATAAACACAAATTAAACGAATTTACCACAAAGCGGAGAATTATTCACAAAATAATAACAAAAGCATTGATAAATGCAACAAAAAGTATATACAAAAATAACTACAATTTGCACTTATCAGCAGCTAGGTAACGATGAGGGTGATGTTGTAACGCTCATGGTTGATAATGTTTCTACTATAAAACTTTCTAAGAACCCAATTGCACATGGGAGGAGCAAGCATATTGAGATGATGTTTCACTACTTGAGAGAACTTATAAGTGAAGGAAGGTTGAGATTGGGATATTGTAGAATTGAAGATCAAGTGGCTGATTTGTTGACCAAGGGAGTCACAATTGAAGTGTTCAAGAGATTGAAGATGAACATAAACATAAAAGAGTTGGAGCACTTGAATTAAGGTGGCGTGTTAAGTGAAAAACTATAATTCAAGTGTTGTAACTGGTTACCACGGGGGTGTAACGAGTTACAAATATGTAGAAAAGTCAAATAAACTGGATATAAGTTGTTTTGTCGTGGGTGTAACCAATTACACACTCACAATAACAGTTACCACTGTTCTGTTTTTAGTTTATATAGCAGCTGTAATCGATTATATTTTTTGTGTAATCAATTACGTGCAATAAATTTATGTTTTTAGCTTATGTTACTTATATCCCAATCCAACTGTAAATTGTATAAATATCCAAGGGGAATCTTCATCAATGGTTAATGAAAATGATATTTCACAACCTTAATTATTCTATCTCTAACTTTTCATCTCTCTCCTTCACTCTTCACATTCAATTACTCCATTTTTACCGATCTTGTGATTCTAAGTTATAACATTCACTCATGTATTAATGAAACGAAAGATGATTTAAAATAATTGTAATATGAGAAAATAAATTAGAATAAGTCTGATTTAGAGTGTTTTTCTGTTTTTCAAGTGTCTCTATTTATATGAGAAGTTTATGTCATTAAGTGGAAAAAACAAGTTTTAAATTAAATTTACACTTGCAAGTTACAATCATTATATTCTCTCAACATTCATAATATTTTACAAGCAATGCAAAATAAATATTTTATTACAATTAATTAGTAAAATAAACTTTATTAAAAAATAATTTAAGAATCAAACCTTACATCTGTAAGAGGTAGTTTTCTTCATGCCAAACCATTTAATACCAATGTATTGATTTTTTTCTTAAT